AAAGCATTCTGTCTTCAAACTAACTCTCTACACAACGAAGAGGTTCATCGAACTGTGCGATCGAAGAAACAGCAAAAAGAAAAATAATTATTCACCGTTGGAATGTCGGTCTTCCTTTATGTTCATGATTGAACCATTTTTAGCGACATTCTTTTAATGAAGTTGATGGTGCGGTGCTGATCTCTGTTTATATGCCATCAGCCAGGAGCGCCTCGTTTATTAAAAGGCAGAATCTACAGCCATGTGACAAACGTAGCAAGTAGTCTCCTGTTCCCTTCCCACTGAGTGGTACTCATCTATCAACCTTGGAAAGAAGAAGGGTGAGTGACCCTGACCGTGACTTGAACCCATGACCTATCAGTTCTAAGTTCAACGCTTTACTGGCAAAGCAACGTATGGTAAATTCGTTGCTCTAGGCAATTCGCAACTAGGACAAAGACTCCTGTCGAGCGGAATCGAACCCGGCACCTCCTGCGTTTGATGCAGATCTACCTCCTAGACAACTGTGCTATAACGCCACCACACGACTGACGACGAAGCAACCATAGGGACAAAATAACATCAAAGTGAAACTTGCCGAACATCAGCTTTACCTGTAGTTCAATTTATCGACAGCAACCGAGAAGTGATGAGGCGCGCTGTTGCACGTATAGGCGTTGCGTGAATCTTCTGGAATAAGGTCAATGTCATGAAAAATGACGCAGCTCCAGTTGAACATCTTCTTAGCTTCTACGAAACCAACGTTCATCAGCTTGCCGCGGTTGAACGTCTCATTCTCGATCTAAACAAATGATGGCATAAACCAGCGTGAAATTTAAACCTTATTTCACCTCATGCTTATTAGCGCGAATATGGAACTAATTTGCATGCAAATCCCATGTTCATCGAGAACAGAAAACCAGAAATTAGCGACAATAACAAACAGTAAATGCTTTTAATCTGTTCCCGCTTATGGGTCAATAATTGAATGAATGTCACGCAGCAGGTGGTTTTATGGTCAACAATAATCCAGGGCATATTTTAAAAAGAAAAAAAAATAAATTAGTCTCAAATAACCACAAATTGGGCATTCAATATCAAAGAATCGACAACGAATAAAACTCACACTGATTGGTGTGTTGTAATTGAAACCAACCCCTGATTGTGTTGTCAACCGGAACCCTCCTCTCAGCTTGCCTGACAAACTGGATACTGCAAAGTAACGACATCTCCAGTCTTTTTATCACGTTTAGTGCTGTCTTCAATTCTGTAAAATAAATGATATGTTGGTAAGTAAGTTTCAATATAAACGTAGGTTTACGATCAACTTACGAATGCAGCACAGCTCCGGCGTTCCCTGTTGCTATATATTTTATATTACACGAATAACAATTTATTTTACACACTACATTATTAGCCTCTTCAGTAAGATGAGGCTAAAATCATACAGAGAGATTAGATTGTTTGCCAAATTGAACAGACATTAAACCCATCCATTTTAAAAAGCGATAGCTTCCTTGTGACATGCTCGGCTCGGAATAAATGAACTCCTTACAGGAAATCTGCATTTTACCTTGTTTGATGCACCATCTTTGCAGTGAGTCCACTAAATACCACAGCCGTTTTTCTACGGATACAACGCAAGTGGTTAACCTCATTCTCCAACAGGCTACGGTCACTACGACAACTAACACCTGTAAATCTTGTACGCTAATAATTTTAATAAAACGCAAGGTATTTTAAGACGAATTTACATATCGATTAGAGTAGGTTGATTACCTGTAAAATGATAAGCTAAATGAACCACCAGCGTTACGCTCCACAACAAAACCTAGAAAAGGCAAATGATTAGTTTCCACCCTTTACACTATGAATTTCATATTGCTCTTAGGATGTTGATCATGAAAATAATTTCGAAATTCCGTTATCCGATTACGTGTGCTCCATGAACGCGTATCGACGCTCGTCCAATGTTCTATATTTTTCGTTTTTGCTGACCAAGTGTTTTGACCATCGGATCATCTCAGGGCGTTGTTGGACGACCGAGTCGACGACGGAGGTTCAGAGTGCAACCCAGTTTTTAATTCTTGACATCCACCGGTTGCCTCTCAGCCGAGCCGCATAACCGGAGCATGTACTCTTTCACAGAACACAGAAATCACGTTTGTTAATAAGATACGCTGTCGATTTTGTTTGTGTGCGCTATAAATATGATCCCGGACGATGGTCAGCTTGTACGCTTTTAGCTCCATCGCCATCTGCATGACCAGCAGTTTGTTCTTTCCTGTTTTAGTAGCATGATGGAACGTAGGCCGGTTCAACAGAACAGCTGTTTGTTTGCTCGCAGTGGCAGCTCTCGCTCTCTCTGTAGTAATAGTGTTTTAATATGATTAAAGTTGGCCCGTGCTGCCTTCTCTTTTCAGCTTATATTCCCATTTAGTGAATTCATGCGATTCACCTGATGGCTAACGTACACAAAGTTGTTCGAGTTCGACTTCTTCGCCATTCCCCTAAATACAACCTCTATACAGTGCTCTTTCCTCGTTCATTTCTTCTTTGAGAGGCTACCCACCTTATTCTTATGGAGAGAGGTTAATTTTGAAACTGCAGGAGCTCTATCGTGTCAAGTGCAAGCACGAAGCCGTCGTTCGCAAATAGCAAATACGTAAGCGACTGTCTATCAATATTAATGCCCTTGCGCCAGTCCTGCCGGATGAAGAGTGACTCCAGAGCTGTCGCCATGAAGAGCGCGAGTCAGACATGATCTTCTTGCCACATTCCTCGATGGTCTGCTGAACAGATTAACATCAGTCGTGCAAGCAAGGTTCAATTCTTTAAAAGGCATATTTCTTAAACAAGGTTTAGGCCATGTTCACACAACTCTTTCAGTCCAGGGTTCAATTTTTTAACTGAACGCTTTGTTATAGTTGACGAAAGCAAAACAGCTCGGCACTTGATACTTGTTGTACTTGTCCGTCGGCTGCTGCATGATACGCATATGCTTAATGGTAGAAAACCTTGTTTCTGACTTGTCTCTAGTTCGAGGTCCTTCTGAATACAGCTGAGGGGAAAACACGGGCGAAGACTTTGTAGATTTGCGACAGGAATGTAAGTGATCGATAGTTGATGAGGTCTTTGGAGTTGCCTTTCTTCACAAAAAGAACCGTCGTTGATGTCTTACATAGCTCAGGTCTGATATATTCCGTAAAACGTTTGGCAAGAGCTCTAAACAGTACTCAAACCTTAGAGTGCTGCCCTGCTTTCATATCGTCGGTGCCTAGATATTGGTCATTCTTTGATGTTTCTGACTGCCCACAAAATTTCATACCAGATGATTTCAGGAACAGCTTGTGGGGCAAGTTGTTTCAAATTCCAATTTGCGCCTTTTTTGAAAGCTATATGTCATTGTAGAAGTGTGCGCAGATCGCGGTCATCCGATTGAGATGCGCGATTCTTGCTATCACCTCATCTTTCAGCACACACGGAACAATCCAATATAACGCTCCACGTTCTTCAGGCTTTTCTTCCTTTCCACCGCCTCTCTTAGTCGCATTTTCATACAACCATCCTGATCTTCCATCCACTTTTTGCGTATCTCTTTGAATACATCAATGGACGTGTACACTTGAAATCGAACGACAGAACTTCCTTCACTCGTATGAAAAACAAATATATCGTCCATATAACGGAAGTATAAAACTGGCGTAAAATCAACAGGAAATTCATTAAGGACTAATTCATAGAAATTTCAACTAAAGATAACCTTACTGGTGAGTCAACCAAAACTCCGTGCTTTTGAAGGTAGGTAATTCTGTCGAAATGAAAATAAATAAATATTAGTCAATTAAGGGAATGATATCAACGGGTTCTAAACTGCTAAATGACAAGTTAAGGTTAGACCACTCCTCCCTTTAAGAAAAAAACATAACCGTGGCTATACATGACACCGTATGTAAGATATGATCACTAATAATTTGGCATTTCAACTGCTGTAAACACAATGAAACGGGCATATGCTAGTACATTCTGTAATAACTGCTGAAGTTTCAGCAATTATAATAAACAACACAGTTTCGCTAAGCCTTCAGTAATAATTAATATGTCTGTTCTGTTGCGTCCGGGAAGCACTGAAATGGCGATTTACCGAAGACGAACACAGCAACATTAACGTAAATATCCGAAAACATACAAACAGCTTTTGGCTGAAACATGAGCGGTGAAAAAGAACAAAGACAAGAAATTTATCAGAGCTGATTAAAGCAATGACAGGCTAAAAAGTTGCTAAAGAAGTTGCAAGGTTGCCATATTTTTATTGTCAGAGAGAGTGTTCCTCTCCATTCGCAATGAACGGAGTAGCAAACTTGCACGGGTGATTAAAAAACAAAAACAAAAAATGAAAACTAAAGCATTATTACCGGCTCAACGATGAATATTCCGTAGTCCAAGCTTTGGTTCATGAGAAACGGGTGAATGTTTTGTAGAAACGATCGCAAATGAGACTCTCTGTCTCGATACGGCACAACAATAGCCACGGTATGCACTGGCATGCAAGAACGTGGTGTAAAACGACCTCCGGCATCCAACATATTGAACTGTTTCTCAAGTTCAGCGAAAGTAGGCGGATGGCTGGTATGGGCATCGATTCGATACCCTAAAAATACATACGACACAATAAGCCAACAAACGCTTGTATCCTACGTGTAAAACACATCATGAAATTTGAACTGTTCATTAATTAGCATTTGTGTGCAGTTAACATCTATAGTTTACACGTGCGGGAAAGAAAACGTATAGAGGAAATGTTCGTCTCTATTTCGATGTCATAACAGACCTGAAAAACTATTTATTAAATACATACACCGACATACTTTAAACGAAAAGTACAGGTGTGCATCGCATTGATGAAATTTTCTTCACATCAAACGCAAACACCATTGTCGTATAGACAAGTGGCATGTCTGAATTTTACAAAGCTAAAATCAACCGAAAAATGAGTATAATCCGTTCATGCGTTGGTGATTACACCTGGCGTTCGGGCTCTAAACCTTACAGCAAATGTGAACCACAGAACGAAGTTCTAAGGAAATCAACTCGGAGCATCCTGAAGAAACCGTGAAACATGATCTGAAATGGCGATAGTGGTCAATTACTCTAGTGACCAATTTGCCGGTACTGTGTATGAATATACTGCTTTTACACAAGTTAAATTCGTGTGGTTCTGCCTCGGAGATACGCTACGAAAGCCACTGGTCCACATCACGCATCAACTGACATTCCATAACATAAATAATACAGTTTTACAAGCCATTTCCAAAAAAGACGAAATGCGAACATGCTGCGCACAAGCTCATGAACAGTGTTGCTTTACACCAAGCGTGATCTATACGGTTGCAAAAACCGCAGATAAACATAACCGCATTACGATGAATAAGCTTCTCACGAAAGTTAAGCTAAAAAGCTTAAGTAAACGACTGCATGGACCACGTCGACAGATCAAGCCGAATTTAGCCCAACGTTCTCAACACTCGATCATATTCAAGTGTTGATTCAAATGCTTGAAAAAAGACTTGAGTACAAACTGCCTAACAACTTGATTTTCGTACACTGGAAAAACCGTTTAATTTGATAAAGCACGATGCACCTTTACAAATTCTACATCAGCAGCATGAGAAAAAATATCTGAATGAACATAAATCAACGTTCACCAAAATGACTCCCCAGATTTTGAGCTATAGCTAAGTCCACCAAGGTAAAACTACAACTGAAACCATGGTCATCATTCACTGGAGGCTGGTTTGACCTTGGTGAAGCAAGACTAGCCTACAAAACAAGAAATCCAAAAAGCTTTGCTACATCCCACAATGAAGTAGGCCTACGATGCGGATCAAACTCCCCCAGGTTTAATTAAATATGGCGGAGTGGGAGTGACAGAATAGCTCTGTACCTTATTTCATAAAATGTCAATATCACAGTGCTTCCCTGAAGGAGAACGGGCAGTGGAGTGCTCTAACTACCATGGTAATCCTACTGTCTACTTCCGGGAAACAGTTCTATCGGTAAATCCTGGAAAAGTTGAAGTAAGAAACTGACAGAAGGCTCCGCCGAAATAAAACAGGCTTCCGGATGGGGATGGGCTACCCCTGCCCCAATGAAGATTATCCCTGATAGAATCACTGAGCAATGTCGGCGATTTCAATTGCCTTGGTTTCCCAGTTTCATGGACTTTAAGGCTACATTTGATTCACTACCTCGTCTGACAATGGAAAAGTCTTGAATTTTTATGGGGTATCTAAGCACATCGATTCCATTAAGGAGAAGATATATGCAGGTACCATGTCCGCTGCCAAAATCAAAGGAGAGCTGTATCAGTGGTTCCCTGTCAACTGTCGCATATGCAATAGAGATGTGATTTCGCCCCTGCTATTCAACATTCGTCCCAATTTCATCTCTGAAACAGTGCTGACAGTGCGAAGGACGGTCTCATTCTAGAGGGAAAGTGCAGTTCAGAATATCCGGCTAGAAATCTTAGTGAATTGGAGTACGCACACGATGTTGTTCGAGTGAGTAGTATGGCTAACGGCCTCTGTCATATAACGGTTTTCGTATTCAAGACTGCTGCGAAAACCCTCCTGTTCCTTAATGCCGAGAATTCGAAAGTTACGAGGAACTCATCCAGAACAACTGATCTCCCATCTTTGTACAGCAAAGAAGGGAAGTCATAAAAGAAGTCGCTCAGTTTAAGTATTACCGCTTAACCGTTTCTGCTACGCCACCATTTAATCAAAATTGAATAAAAAGATTGCCTCCCATCCAGTGCTTTTCATAACTTGTCGAATATTTAAGCTGAGAAACGGACAGCCGTTTCGACAAAAATCTGCCTGGACTTTATTTCCGTCAGGCTAGTACTGCTGTTTTGATTAAGGAGCAAAGAAAAAGGGTTGACAGAAGCGTTGGCTCTGACACATAATGAGGGTTAAATAACAGGACCATTTAAGGACTCTCTTCTCTTCTACGCACCTCACGTGACCTCGGTACATGTGCAGATTAAGAAAAGAAGGATGGCCTTGTTAAACGAACTGGTTGAGCCTACGGCATTTACTCCAGTCCATAAGCTTCATGCTTGGAAGCCGCATACATGACAGACGAGGCCAGGAGGCCAACAAACCTTCAGATGCAAAGAGCAGGAACAAGACAGACTTAGATCCATTTTCGAAGATGAGAATTTCCTCGTGTCACAGAGTAATCGCTGCCTTATAGCATAATTGACTTAAAGCTGTGACAGAATCGATGTTCTGATTATGTAAATGGCTCCAGACGATGATCACACACACACGCGCGCGCGCGCGCACACACACACACACGCACACACAGACAGAGAGACAGATAGATAGACAGACAGACACACACACACACACACACACACACACACACACACACACACATTCGCTTTGAATAATCAGTTTTTAATATGACGGCAAAAAGTCGGAAGCATCGTGTGATGGTTGCACATGCTATTTGCTAGGAACGACTAGTGCATAAATTATTAACACATGTATGCATAAGCATAAACATCGATCTGCAGATCGGTAGACGGGATTCATGGAATTCAATGTGCTTCCATCAGACATGTACATGAATGTAGATGCTTCGTCAGGCAGCCCCACACAACGACGACACTTTTATCGTTGGCCATCACCATCAAAAGCAAAAACGATCACGGCTGTTCGGCTCACCACAAACCGGAGCCAGAAACTTAAATTGCCCCATCTGTGGTCGAATAAATTTTCAACATCTACACATTCATGTAGCGAACAGTGACAAGAAACTGATGCGAAATTTCACAATTCTTCTGCAAATACGTCTGTTACAAATTCCACACGATGAATAGCTTTTTACATCAAGTTCGCCAGAACTATTTACGAAAAACAGATAAAACAACTTCTTAAAACACAATGTAAAAAATGGTCAATCGGACGATGGACAAAATACCGTTGTTTCGGCCTGTGTTTCACGAGCCGTCTTTAATGTAGGAGGTTGGTAAAGTTTCGGAGGTTTTTCTTGTTGTTCGTAGCGGTTGCTACGTTTGGAGTCAGAAGGATACCAACTCGAAGCGTAAATAACTCAAGACCGGTTCAGATCCTCGTCTTTTTTCAGTACGCTTCAATTACCCAACAGCATGTGGGGCAGAGCCTTTGACAGCTCTGGATATGGGGCAGAGAGCCGGCAGACATTTATGTTTTCTCTAACAAGAGTAACACAAGAGCCAGGTAGCAAAGTTTTACGACAAACTTCACCTGGTTGCGCCATCCTCCTCATTTCTCACTAACACTGTTTACCGCAAACAGCGGAGTTTACACTATATCATCAAAGCCTTATCTAATCAGTGCTAATCTGTTGCTATTTAAAGAGAAATGAATAAACCAACGTCTTCTAATCGTTCGATATATCTTGTTACCACGTATCTTGTTTACGATGATTTTATCAGCTAAGCAGCTGTGGTAACAGTTTGTTTGTTTAGCAAAATTCTTACCGCTGTTCAACAGGCTGCGCGTGAAATGTTTACATATAAAAAAGGGATTAAAATGGAGGCGGAGCATGAAAGCATAAAGCGATTAAAAAGAAACTAATCACCACTGGATATCGACTCGCTTACACGTCTGTGGCAGTTCAGTAGCCTAAAGAATACGATCTTGCAAAACATTATCCTAAAAACAAAGCCGAGAAGACCTCATGACAGCTGTGGATCAAAACTTTAAAGCTTTACCGAAAACCGGACATGTTCCTCATCCGTATCACACACGACCTTAAACAGCTGAGAAAACTTTATCGAAGTTGCTATGTCAACTGCACTATAGTCAGCGGACCGTAAGACATCATCTCTGCTGCTGGCATTGTTTTTGGCAGTCTTCTTTTCTTATGTCATCAGGCAGAAGTGCGTTGTCACCAAGAACATAGTCAGTACCACTCTGTTTGAAGGAGACACGAGACTACACGCTATTCTTGCCACAAGACTTCAGACTTTGTTTTTAAAACTAGAGATTTGTGACTGATGGAATAAAAACGAAGATCAGCAACCTACAGTAAACTTTACGAAAGAACCGCAGCACAAGTGCCTCCTAATCATACGCGAAATCGACATTCAAACCGTTATCATAACATAATATTCTATTTTATTCACTGTAACTAAGAAAGCTATATAGATGATCATGTCGATTGTAGTAGCGGTGTATGATTTGTTTTATATCACTCCTTTTTCTAACTCAAAAGAAACGAGATCAGTGATCCAGATATGATTCGCACCTTGTGATTTCGTTCATTCCGAAAGTACCCTAGCCATAAGCAACGAAACGTCTGCTTTTTGTTTATGAACTGTAGGATGGTATCAACAACCATCGTACGGATTAACAGTGTAGTGATTCATACCATTGGCAGAAGGGTTACGAAAATGCGTTGTAACGTCAACAGCAACCTTCAAGACATAAAATCTTATCAGTAAACTGCTAACCTTTGTGGAAACTCATTACAAGGCAATGCAAGCTATGTATCGCATGTCAAGATGAAACGCAGGGGAAGGAATTGGAAGGGTCTCTTGTAGAATGCTGCTTTTTATGAAAGACGACGTGACACAGCTCAAGTATCTTAATGAGTCAACATATATACCTGATTAGAGCTTCGAAAACTCCTCACAGTAACTCCCGTGTAAGAATGGCTCAAGGACAGAGATCAAACTAGGAGTCTGGAACATAACCACGGTTCCACTGTTTATAAATGATCATACTACGTCGTCCTTTGAGCATGTATTAGGGATTCGAATAAGTTACCACTAATTTGCGACTACATTCCATCGGCTTCACTACCATGAAATTTACCGAAGCAGACCATTGGCATACTGGCACGAATGTCATACCTATAAAAAACGTTACTATTGACAAAAAGAAGTAACCTCTTGATGGGGCATCTGCTGAAGCAAAAATTTTCATAAATGTGTTCTAGGTTTGAAACAGCTATCACGTCTACCGAATGTGCAGTGCGACCTCCAAATCCGTATAAAACATGCAGTATTTTGATATAAGGGCTGTGCCTCAAACTCAGTATCATACTTTAGCAGCTTTAAAGCCGCATCGAACTCATCGAGTTTGACTTCTACACATGCGTGGTGAATGGATCAGGCAAAACTTCACGGCACTCTTCACGGAGTGCTCAGAAGGAATAGTTGCTATGGTAATATCACAACGATGCAACGGGTTATTAAAAGCAAATCTGTCAAGCATAAAGCAACTATCACGATTATTATTCGAGAGAAGATTGTGGAACAGTTCATGACACCAGAATATGAGTAAGTTCAATTTTTTAGTGTGTTAGTTTTCCATGCGCTGCGTTCTCCATGAAACTGCGGGTGTTGCTACTGTCGTTGGTTTTACCGACCTTCATACAGTAAGAACGGCAAAGTCTAACTACGCCACTTTGACATGGACATCTACAAAACGCTGTTGCTTTCTACTTTGGATTGTATTGTGATAGAAGCAACCAAGATGTGCATGTGTCCGTTATAGGAAAGCAAAATGAAAAGCTTCCTGGTTGGTCTTTCTAATATATACTTTTCGCAATCTCTGCACCGAACTTCGTAGACACCCTTTAACACATTATCAGGATCATTAATGCACATGTACTTTTTACATAAAATGTCGCCAAATGTTCTGCCAGTCTTTTAGTAGAACCTAAACCCCATGTTATTAAGGTACCTCGTGATAAGTTGAGATACTTGGGGTAAGGACGGTAAAACTACCATTGGTCCATATGAACTGCCTAGCTTTAAATTAAAATTCGGGTGCAAAAATTCTTCTGAAATTGAACATCCGTATAAAAGAGCACCTTGCTGCGGTCTGCCTTGGACAGGCTGGCAATCCTGGTATTAATCAGCATGTGATTATAGAAGGACATTCATACAGTCAGGCAAACGTGTCTGTTATAAACGAAGACAGTTTAAACTGGGTCTGCTGATAAAGGAGTCCTTGCATATACTGGCAATGAAAAACCGGATATTTAACGAATACACATCTTCTGTGGTTATAAATGAAAGCTGGGGCATGATCACAGAACTGATACGCAAAATCGAGCCAAAATGACAACGATCCGATTTATTTTGAAATGAACATTATAATTTGTTCAATCAGTGTAACAACGTCTTGACTGCATGTCATAAGCCAATTGAAACTTTGGCATTGTTCGCTTCTTGCCTTCAAACAGTCAACTGTACTGAGTTCAGCCATGATAATGCTGCGGTGTGTGCAGTGAAGCACGTTGGCATTAAACTGTTTAACATCTGCTGTATTTGGGGCCCTGAATCATGAACAATTAAAACAACCATTAAAACGAGTATGGGTTCAGAATCAGAAACTTGAAGAATTATTTAATTCGGAATTCCGTTTTACGGGTTCAAGCGGCAACAAGCAGAATTATATTTGTTGTTTTTGAAATGGAATCACATTTTTTTTCGTTGTTTTATCTAGCACCCATATGTTTAAGTCATGTTCTATTCTTACTTCCTGTAAATTTCTTTTCCGAGTAGTTCGTGATTCGTTTGTTCGACTGTACAGTACTGTTCCACGGAATTCTAAAAATTTCTATTCACCAAATGAAATGAACTAACGGAACCAACGGTGATTAGTTATAGCAAACAAACGCCATTATACAGAAGTCCAAAAGTTAGAAGGAAGATTACCGGTCAAGACATCAATAATAGGTCATTGGGGCCACTGATGCTGCACTTTCCTCCTGTCAAAGCTGGCATAGTGACAATGTTTCTTATCAGCCGAGTAATAAAAAACTTAACCTAAACAAAAAACGCCTATGTTTGCGTGGTGATAGAAAACCGATTCTGAGGAGTGACGAAAGGAAGGAAAGGAAAGTTTCTCATTATTCTCAAAATGTCTTTCTTTCTTCACTTACATGAGTGGGTCATTTTGGTACCAATCTCATGAAACTGATTTATGTTTCGATGTCATAAGCTAAGAGTGCATTATTTTTTTCAAAGGCAGAGTCTACAGCCATTTGGTAAGCGTAGTGCGTAGTCTCCTGTGTCCTTTTCACAAAGTCGTACTCATTTATCAACCTCAGAAGGAAGAAGAGTGAATGACCCTGACCAGGGCTCGAACTCGGGATCCATCGATTCTGAGCTCGATACTCTACCGACTGAGCAATCAGGTAAATTCACTGGAGATTTCGTAAATAAGACAAATTGCCCTTCAGCGGAATCGAACGCAACAGCTCCGGGGTTGAAAGCTGATCTCTGATTACCATCAGATCATTAATCTCGTACTGACAGAGCTGTTTAGCGACCGTTCTGCAGACAGCAGTGACAGACAAAAACAACAACAACAACTAACGACAACGTGACTAGGCGAGTTACGGTACGACTTATTCAGTGAGTGACACAGACACATTCGGCAGGAAAAAAACACTAACGAGTGAAAAGAGAAATACTTGAAGAGTCATCATTAGACATTGTGTCGCAACGACAAACAATAACAATAACAATTACAATGACGCATGTCGAAAAGGCGGACAATTTACAACCGCTATCATTGTTTATACGATGATCTGTTCACTTAAGTTTATAAAAATGACGTTCGTCCGACCTCAAGCCAGCCGTCTTGCTTTAGTTAATAAGAAACATAGCTGTTTCGATGACAACGTTGTAAAGTCGTTGAAGAACAACGCAGCGAAACGTTTGTAAAACGAGTTTCGACAAAGTTTCGGCCAACAACGATATCAGTTGTCAGCGAGGGAGCGATGACTGATGTCCAGTCAACCGAAACACTGTCCCCTGAATTATGCTAAAAATTATGCCATCAACCGCAGTTGTCCCTCAAGGGACGGTTTCAAGGGCAGACTCTACGAAGCAGCTGCAACGAGTATTTCACGTTATCAATACAGGGAATAAAACAGCAAGCAAATAAACCTACGAAAAAATAAATACGGCCTATTTGTACGCATGTCAGCAATACTCTACATCAGTGTCACGCCTGTACGAAGCTCGACGTTCAAAAGAGATGAGAGTGGAACAAATCTCGACGAAAATTCTGCCGAAGGATCGCGAAATGAATGGTCCAGATGGTGGTCACTAGATAATGGAACCGCCGAACTGAACCTCGCAATGGTCAGGTAACCACATGGCTAATAAGCTAACCCTTACCGATCTCTGTAGAAGGTTCGGCACATGATCCGTTGACGGGAGCCATTTTGGAAGCAGTGTCGTTTGTGGTCACTATCGTAGTGTTGAACTGGTGGCTGGACAACGCGTACGTGAAGAACCATGTCCGTGATACCAATGACAACTGCTGCGCAAGGAGCAGCACCAGACCGAACACGGTCAAGAAGATAAAAAGCAGCCAGACGCGGCGACCACCGCTACGTGCGGTGACATCTACTCCTTTCAATTGGTATAACCAGTCACGACTACCGTAAATGGTCCTGAAGAACAGACGAGTCAGAAAGCACTCGCGCGTCGTCTCTGTCATCGGTTTCTTCACAGCTTCATAGCCATTCATCAGGTGTTTCTTTTCAGGCATAAAAGCTAGTATCGGTTTTCAGGTTCTCGCAAACTATTCGAGATCTCCATTAACTGAAAACACCGAATCATAGCACAAAAGCATATAGTCATCAGCTGACCCATGCTTCAAACTACTTTCTGGTATCTACTCTACAGTACGCACGGCAACTCAGTCAAGTTCTTTTAAATTAGACTTTTATCGCCGTACACGGAATAATACCCTACCTCAATAATAGATGTCATTCAAACAGAATATTGCTGACTCGCACTACATATTTTCTCGGTACCAGCCATCCTTTCATTTCACTTTTGATGATCACTTCTCCTTTCTGATCGTGGAATAAAACTCCTCAGGCAATGCTTCGAATATTCCCGATGCTGTGCCTAAGTTTGAGCATGGACGGAATACAACTGGAATCTAGAACAAACTTCTTCAATAAATCGTCAGCTGCGTCTTCTACTGGTCAGTTAAGCAAATGGTAGTTGCTTCGTCTTCCTTTTTAAAGGCACACTCGCAACACTTGGTAAGACTTTCCCAGCTGATACTTTTTAATCTAAAACAGCAGTGACAAGGTACAGAGGCTCTTTCAGGTATTTGTTCTCCAGGCAATGCCAAGAAGGGTCTCCAAAGCCAGCAACTTGATTCAGAAAGCCAATTTTTGCTTACACCCGGAATCTTAGTTTGTCAATCATGGTCCACAACTCATTACGGTAGATCAGCATGGAGATGAAAATCGACTTTAGCAACATTATCTTAACCTTCAGACTCAGCTCTGTTTTGTTCACAGCAGATTGGGCTATTTCACGCAAAACACTGCTGGTTGCCACAATCTGTCGGTAGATTTTTTCTTCCAATTATCCATGATTAGTTCCCAAGAACTGGAACTTCTTCGCCTCCTCCACTGCTTCTCCATCTATTTGAAGAGAGCAACATCCCGCAGAACGAGAAGGAGTCCGATTTTCGTTTTAATTACGTGAATTCTGGCCATGTCGCATTCGACTGCAAAAATCTTCAGACAGAGCTGGAACTCAGTTCCAAAAGATGTCAACAAAACATTCTTCTGAAAAGGGCAAATTTGTTGTCTTGACTACTCCTACACTGATGCAATCATTGCCTTGGCTGCCTGCGCCGCATTATTCCCTCAGTGCATAAAACAAGCAGAAATTCGAACAGAACGTACGCTTGGCGGAGACTAGTGCTAACAATGCTGGATCTCGACTTCGCGACATTTACTCTGTTTCAAGATCGCGATCATCATATAATGATTGGATTTCCAGTTGCAATCGACCGTTGATCCCATATGTACCTGAGTACGCGCAGAGATTGTTGCGCTGGATTCGTTCATAGGTTTTCTTCACTGCACCAGGCACACATAAATCGGATGAGCGAACTCCCTCAACAGTCTGGCGTAGGACGGACGCCTGGCTAAACGTACTTCGGCTGGACCGGAAGCCATACCGCTCTTGTATTTTAAAGTCAGTCATTTCGCGGCTTTTTTCCCTGATGTACGCCTTACCGAGGAGGCTCAGTATGATAGTCTCCTGATAATGGAAACGTTCTTCGTAGTCTCTTTTCTCGAACATGTGTACTACAACCCTACCTCTTCAATCCACCCATGTCTTCTCCGAAGTCTTTTCAGTCTGACAAACAGCACATATCCTGCTCGTTTAATGGTTAGTCATTATGGATCGGATTTCGTTGATTCCAGCGGCTTTTGCACTTTTTACGCTTGTGTAATTTCATCCACAATTAATTAACTTCTCTTTCCTTCTAAATGAGGATATGAACCATTTTCCAATTGTATACTCTTACTGCTGGTATCGTTGCCGCTAAGCCGCATCTGAAGTTTTGCTTTGTATCGTGCAGTGTGCCTCCTCCGTTCAGAACGAGCTGATCGGTTGTCGATTGTTCCATATTTGCAGCCATTATTATGTTGTTGCACCCTCCCCCTCGACTGCCAGAAGACTGCGTGCAGGTTTTGATACAAAAATTGCGTCGTTTGGTGATCCGCGGTGATCGACTCGCTAAAATGTCTGATGACGGCAATACCATGAGTGGAAGGTGTTTAAGTTTTACGAAGACTTCGTAATGGTCTCCAACTGGCCCTCGTTTCTCAACCAGGTTTGGGACTGGCATCGATGGAGTCCCATTATACTAATAAACACTTTTGTTCAAAGAATTTTTTAAAATTTTTTTCCGATGAATTTAGCGGCGAATATATGTCTGATGAGAGTTATATTAAATTCTTTGAAATTCTATCAATCTCAATCGAAACAGTTCACAACATCTTATAGAAAAAATTCCATGTAATTTTTGTGCCGATCAATATTTCAGTGATTACATAAAAGCTGCGTCATAGAGTAACCACTATACGCAGTTATATTTCTAATTATGCATCGAATTTATGCTGTAATACAATAAGTCATGTGCATGGTATATGTGGCATTATACTTGACCTGCGAAGACCTAGAGTAGGTGCGGAAGCCTACTTTTTGTCGATCATGGTGGTAGTTTCGCCTACTACTAATCAGAATTACTTTCTGCTACCAAATCTTTACAATGTACTGTTTTACTCTGAATCAGTTGTGATCAATGAACTTTGGAACGATGTCTACGATAGTTGGCATCCGTATCAGATTACAGAATAAAAAAATGTTCATAAATAAAAACCGATAAAACAGACGAACGTCAGGTTCGCTGGTCGACCCATTTGCCTGAAAACAGTGTACAAATCAGTAAATGGTAGGATGCGATTTTTCAACCGATCAACCTGTTGTCAAGATCCTCCTCTCGCGGCCAGCCATAATGATAGAGCGCTATGGACGGACAGATTTATGAACGTCGATATGAAGAAGAGGCAAGAAGTTAATGCGGTTGTTGCTGAAATATTTGAAACCGAAGGTTTAAGGAACTTCTTATGCAGTCTAACAGCGGAGACTAAGTGCACCTCAGGGAAACATTTTTAAAGTACACTCACATCAGCAACGCTTCGGTCAGGATGAAATAAAAACTGTGTAGAAAGTTGTAACTGTCTGTTGCTTCGTACAGCAGAGACATGCAGACTGTCGACGGAGTTCCTTGCTACTCAGGCCGCAGTTTTGGTCATCTTTAGTACAGAACGATATGCTAGACACAAGAGCTACATCTACTATGGAATAGAGTGAAATATATGTACACAAACTTCAGTCAAATTACGCTCAATCCCTTTCTTCGTTGCATTCAGCGGCAACGGTCTGTTCGCCGCTTCTGCTGCTCAACTTCGACTATGAAGAGTGTCCTGTGGTACCTCTGATCATTTCGGGGTCGATTGCTCGTCTGCTGTTGCTCAACAAATGAATTGTCATTGCTGTGACGCGTGCTGAACAATCTCGGAGGACAGAGTGTACCTTAAAGGTTAAATACATTGGTTAAATAAGCAACGTCAACTTGGCATTAATCATCCAGTCCTGCGAAACATCAATTGTGACAAAGGGAGAAAGTATGTTCGGATTGGAGAATTATTTCTCCTTTCGCCTGAAAGCTAGTATATCAGTAGTTCGGATATAAAGCTCTCCTTCTGACGTAACAGCCACAGCGGAAAACCACAAAACAGGAAATTTAACTAATTACTTTCTTTAAAGAAAGTTTGAGACATGGTTCGAAACGTCAGTAGTCATCAGTCATCTTACTGACCGTGTTATTGGTGTTATGTATGAATGAACACAGTGTTTCATACTGTTTCCGGGCCATATTCTTATCAGTATTGCAACCGACAGGGTTGCTAGCAAACAGGATGCGAAACATTGTCACAAGATTTAACTAGCAACCACAGCGCACTTACAAAAGGCAGCAACTGCCCGCACGATACATCATTATACTCTATATTCCCTAGGTCTCCTTCGGATTCTTTGTTCATCATCGAGTTCCAATGAGCGTTGACCCATTGACTGAACTTTCGGCTTCAGTTGCAAGTTGGTCTTGCTGCGTACAGGTGGTAAAGTAGGGCGGGGGCGAGCGCTCCCTCCTTCGTTCGGCGAGTATGCACGTTGCTTTATGGGGGCGAGAGCTTGCTTTGTCGTTTGCCCAACGATTAAGGTGGTGTTTTGGCAAGGGGGTAGCGTCCGACTGATTCCGATTCGATACAGCCAGTCGTCGCTGACCGTTGCAATTTCTTCACTTCGCCACTTAGTCGTTCTGCTGAATCACTCAGCATTTTATCTACTGCAATATGTAATCAAGTTGCCGAAACCGAGCTAATCTCAGGATGTTTAAACCATGTGAATTTGAGTTTCAAGGTGTCTGAGCCTCCGTCTTGAAATGCAACTTAACGAATCATTTAGCATCTTCTTGGTAAGGTCAATGGGTAAAAGAGTCACTGTTCGATGGTACGTTATCCAGCTACGCGACGCCTGTGCAATGAATGGTGTACGTCGACAGATCCGAATGTTTTACATTAAAAACTTGACCTCCCGCCTATCAACATCAACAAGGAGTAGATCCGTGTCGCCTGCTGGAACGTGCGAACGCTAAGCGGAGACGACAAGCTGGATGACGTCATCTGTACCGTTGAGCGGTGCCACCTCGACCTTCTTGCGAACTCAGAAACTCACATCGCTGACCAGGCAGAAGACATGACAGCTTCAGTGTCTGGGAACCGAGATTCCTGACGCGAGTAGGGAGTGGCAGTGTTGCCGTCGTCACGAGCAGTGAATGCCATGGTTTCGTCGAGTAGTACACCACTAATCGGCTGCTTGTTTACCATCTTGCAACAAAGCAGTGAAGGTCAACACCGTAATCGTGTACCCCACCCACCAAGGTCGCGGACGATCAAAGGAAGTACAAATTCTACGCGAACAATTATCGAACGTCACCTGTGACATGAAGGCAGTGGTAGGCGGAGACAGTTCCATCAGGCATCATGTGGTGGGCGGCACAATTCCAACATGGCTGCCGGCGCTGAACGACAACGGCATGCGGATGTTAGAGTTTTGTTCTACGGCGGTACGCTGTTTCACACCTTCAAATCCATCAGTGGAAGG